CGTCTGTGTTTGTTACAGTTTCGCGTAGGCAATGGTGCGGTAGTAGTCGCATGGAAGTAGTACAAGCTACTGCACATCTTACCAAGTCGATTTGACCAATGAAGTGCTGTTATTACCTAATTAATATTTATGCCGTGTAGTAATATTATATATTACAATTCGTGAATGGTTCCTTCAAATGTAGTGCCCAACACATAAAAAACATTATTTATTATTAACTCTTGTACAAATAATTAAAATACAAATTTGTTTTTTTAGTTGAGATAATAGGTCTTTTTTGCAAGTGAACATGTAACATTGCGGCTACAACCTCTTGTCCCCTAAAAACAGGATGAAAAGTTTTTCAAATTTTTCCGGTTTCCTTTTTATTAATTAGTTTAGTAGAGCCAGGTAAAAGTTTAAAGAAATTGTTAGTGTGTTGACCCTTTCCTGTCTTTCCATGAATTAATAATCACTTAACTCTCTAGTAGACTTCAGAAATAGTTTTACCATGGAGGAATTAGCCTATGGTTTTACCTGTTTACTGTCTGCGAGTAATTTCAAGGGGATATTTGCATCTGGCTTTAAGTAACAGCCCTGAAACTCCCTTGAATAACATATCATTGCCTTGGATTCATTTATGTTTTTAAATGTCATATTCTGAGCACATCCTTTGAGTTGACTCAAGTCTAGTCTGGGTTCCCCGTTGTTTTCAGGGTGTCTGGAATAAACTCTCTAGTGTGCTATTTTTTCTTAACAGATTTGAAACATGTGTCTAAAGTCATACACATCTTATGGTGGTAATTTCACAATAATGTATTTTTTCTAATACGTCTTCTGGTTGAAAATGCTGCCTTCTCGCATAGTACACTTTCTGGTGGTATTTTTTAATACCTTCATTGCACACATCTTTTGGATGGTAATATTTAACAAATTTTGCTTCACTTAACAGTGCTTCTTGTGTTCCTAGTCAATTAAGTTAATCTTAATTTTAACTTTTTTTTTATTGTTCTCATAATAAACAAGAAATATTTCCTATAAAAAATGTTGCAACATCTTTAACTTATGAATGATTTGTAGCCTATTTCTAAACTTAATAAATTAATGTATACAGTACTTGAAAATGACCTACAGTATATCATCTTCATTGCATTTCACTTATGATATGACACATAAACATAAGAATAATAGTCTACAGGTAGAATTGGTTTACGACTAGTGTAACAATAGCCACGAAGTTATTTACATTGCAGTCACAGTACTCCACATCTAATAGAAATGTAGAAAGTATGATATATGATTTGATGTAGGCAAGGCCTACCATAGTGTTCTTGCCATTATTATTAATGATAATATTATTATTTTTTAATATTTTATATTATTTATTTGTATTCAATTTTTAAAAATATATTTTATTATTTTTATTTTTTTAATTTTTTATTTTTGGCTAGGCCCCCACACCACTAGCTAGCGTACAGCACCGAACCTTTCGAAACAATACGACTAGCCTAGGCTTGCCCCTACTACTTGGCTATTAGTAGTTACCCAGAGAGACCCAGCCTAGGCTGTGTCGTCAGTTTCTGTGGTTATTTTTTATCGGATTGTCAATGCATACAGTACGAACATACGACTATAGAGCCAAATAAACTGTTGTTTGCGATAATTTGATTACAATTCTTCCAGACGATTAAATGAGCCACTGTAGGCCTTCGATATCCAAGGTTCTTCGACCGGAATTCTCATTATTTTAAATTTTCATAGCCATGCATGATCGCGTTTTAGCTTGAGTTGCAGATGCTAATAATTGTTGCATAACAAAATTTTTCCCATTTTTATTTCATACCCTCTTCGCAGATGCTGTTTGGTTCCTGAGATGTCTTTTCGGTAACTGCGCATGCTCGACATGGCTCAATAACATCACTTACTCATTACACATGCTCACTTGCTGTCTAGCATTTCCAAACGCATGCTCACTGTGTATTTATGCATATTTCACGGACTTTCTTTATTCATTAGTTTGGAATTCTCGTTCCTTCATAGTAAAAGTTACCGCTACCTACAGTTTCTTAATGACTGTTTCCTCTTGATCGTATCAGCTTAAAGGTGTGGTGCGAAAAAATAATCAAAGATAATCAGTCAAAAATTTTACATTTAATATTTAATTTATTATTGTTTGTATGATTTTTTACTTGTTTAAAAAAAAGATATTACGTATACAGTACATATTTTTAAAGGTGTAGTGTCCCTTGCAAAAAACCAAAAAAAAATCTTAAAAATCGTTTTTTAAATTTACTTGACCATTTTGAAGTAACATTAAATTTATCAACTTGTATTTAAAAAATGCTTAACATCATTTTACAGCAAAAGAATTGATAGAAACACTTCCAGTCGCTGGAAGTGTTTCAAACATTACTGTATATAAATTTTCTTAATTAAATAATTTCTATGCTCAAGTTAATAACTTGTATATTACTGCAAAATGAGTAAGTTATTTAAAAATTATTTTTTATGAGTTTGGTCATTTTCAAGGGACAGTACATCTTTAAATATCCTATAGTACTTTGATAACCTGGTTTGTGTTGATATTGTTGAATTGTGGAATTCCCTCAAGTTCACGAACTGTTACATAAAGCTGAGATAACATGTCTCTATGTGTACTCATTCGTTACTCTTCATCAATATCTTACTGAGCATGCTCAGTCATACACCTGTTCCGCAACAAATACTTCACGCTCCTAAGGGGTAAGGAGATGGCATGCGATTAGGCAAACTACAACCAGCAGATTTTCAACAATTTTGTTGTGAGAAGACTCAGCTTGTAGGAATGGCTTCCCCTGTAGTGGATCATTAGGACAGTGTTGCTCTCCTATGTTGAACAATTAAAGAATCACTGCTGTTACTATCACAATTAACATATAGGTAAATTCTGGCCAATCACACAAACTTATTTTTTAAATTCTGTTATTCTATAGGCCTACTCTTTTCAATACCACGTTACTACTAGCTCATTTGAGTATGTTTTGATGTACTAAATGTAATATTTATCAGATTCACAGGGAGGTGATCAAGATGACCTGTGGAACTCTGTAAATTTTAATAGTGTTGGTCTTCTTTCAATAAATATGGTATTATTTAATCAAACAATTACTATACGATACGAGTAATGATAGAATATAGGCTACTAATTTTGATATAGAAAATGAATATTTTTTGATGATTTTATTTAAGAAAATGATAGGCTTACAATGGCAAAATTCAATATATCATATCTGTTCATTACTGTAGAATTCAAGAACATAATTATGTGATATATTTCAAAAAGAAAGAGAATGAAAAAGCGACAATACTTTAAAAGTTCACTGAAAAGTCACTGAGTCAAGGTGTGACCCTTGTTGGATTAAATTATTCAAAATAATAGAAGGAATATTAGTTGTATATTCAATTTCAATATACATTTCATTTTAAAATGAGTTTAGATTTAGTAAGGTGATAGTATTTAAATTAGGTACAACTGTATATTACCTCTTTGGTGTGGATGCAGTGTTGGTTTGACCTCCTTAATAAATTATTATATATAGATACTAAGGGATAGAACCATGCTGACATGGAATCCGGCAAAGGTCAAGACTTTTAATCATTGATGTTATTCTCATTTTAAACATTACCGTATACAAATTACAATTAAAAATTTTGACTATCTTTTGTCAACAATAAATTTTCAGTAAATTCCAGGTCTATTTTCCTTGATTTTCTTTTTTCACCTTATTTCTAACTTCATTGATCCAATATCAAACAGAATTATATACAATAAAACAAAAGTAGTTATAAGATGATGGTGATGATGATGACATCATTCAAACAGTCTCTTGTTAAACATCATTTTAAACTGATGCAAAATTTGTTTAATTTGGAGTTAATCTCATTGGCCGAAGATTATCCCGGCTGAAGTAGAAGCAATTGTTTAAATTAGCTGGGCAATTATCTTTTGGGGGATGTGTATTTTCTGTATTGTATGCAATGTCCATTTTTATTTTATGAGCACTGTTTTTAGTACAAAACGTTTTTATTAACAATTTAAAATTAAGTTCAAACAATATTGACGAACACAGTGAACAGAACAAAACAGAGAGACAAAACTTGGCGGCACATGAGTCAGTGTGTGTGTGTATATACAGTAGACCTATATTCTTCTATTGATGGACGACTATATTTGCTCAGCCAAACAAAGCTGTTTTCCTTTAAAGTTACTTTGACCAAGGGGTTGCATTTTGTTTTTACTGTATTGAAAATATACTTATCGAATGATTATAACTTGAAATGCTTCATTTATGAGTAGGATTAGCATGTCTGTAGGGTAATACTTTCTTGGTTCGGTTTGTTTCCAAGTTTATGTTAAGCACATAGAGGTCTCTACCCCCACAATATGCGCCACATAAGTCAACCATTATTATATTTATTACTAATTTGTTTAAAATATTTTTCTACTATTTTATTTTTTCTCTCGGGCCAAATTAAATTACCATGCAGGCCAAATTTGGCCCGCTGTCCACCTATTAAGAACTGAGGCTATATATCATGCATTCAACATGTATAGTATTACCGTACATAATTATATAAACATTTTATATCTACTGAAATCCAGTATTTAAATGTATAGCAATAATAATTGTACAATTGTCTTCAATCTTGTGAAGAGAGCAGAGTCTGTAGTCTTTCATCTGTTTTCACTGCAGAGCAAAAAATGTCCAAAAATGTTATTTTTAATGATGTATGATTAGTAAAGAAAAATACATTAGTGTAATATTTTTACTTGCTAGTTATTATTGAGCTTTGGTTTCGTAACAGCCATATGGGGTTAGAGGTACTCTTATCGTGCAGACCAGGTAGAGAGATACAAGAAGGACCTCTCAGTGACAGTAAATTGTCATTCTATTCAATATTTCTGTCTTAATTTTGATGTTTTTGTATTATAATCCCACTATTAATAAAAAAAATAAAATGTTTTTAATATGTTCTTATAGGTCTCAAGTTTGGATTCATCTACTTATGAATATACAGAATGGGAGAATTGGGTACCTTGTTCCAAAAAATGTGGCCGAGGATTATCGTTTCGAGCAAGGGGTTGTGCACGAGGGGAGTGCCCAACATCAGAGCTAATTACCTATAAAACATGTAATTTACAGGTAAGGATGATTTTGTATTTATCTCATTTTCTAATGCTACAGAAATAAATGTAGAGCCCTAATATTAGAAATATAAAATATGATATACAAATATAGAGTATGGTCAAAATTATCAGCTCAAAATATATATCAAATATAAAAGCCAATAAATAAAGAATGACGTTGAAGAATTGGATGCAGTCCCTTCAGGGTTGCGAGTGAATATTAACTGTTAGATAGAATCTCCATCTGGGTTCTGAGTGAAGATGAACATTATAAACTGGTCTCATGACAGTTTAAAGGGAAGGTGAACCATTTGATGGGCCTATATGGTTCTGAGTGAAGGTTGTATGGCCC